TTACGCCTGCCTTGAGAGCATCGAAGGCACTCAGACCTCCGCTGGCGCTGGCCTCCGACTTCTCCTCGTCTTCGTCCTCCGACAAGGGCTCGGCCTCCTTGCGGTCAATTACCTCGAGAAGCATTGAATCCAGACCCAGTCTGAAAGAAGGTATATTAATTACTTTAGGAAGATTCATAGGTGCGGTTTATAAGGCATAGGGAACACCAACTTATTGCATTACTAGATAATGGGGATGTACTTCTGAATACCGATATGCACATTTACCAAATAACGTTACTTACTTGGAAAGGGATCCAATGTTCTCCCGGAGCTCCGCATCGAATCCGCCGCCCCCGCGTCCCTCGCCCTCGTCGTCTTCCAGCAATCTGCCCTCGGAGTCGATGTTGCCGAAAAGAATGCCGGTCAAGTCCAATCCATTGCCAATCGATCCCTCGTCGTCACTGTTGTCGGATTCCATCTCCATTTCCATCGGATTCCAATGTTTACGCGGCTAAAATCTTGTTTTTGCCGGAGCGTAATTGCATTTTTCCACGAAACACGGTTAAGTATGACCGTTGATGGACATCCCGAAAATACAGCGCGACTTTCGCAAGTGCATCAAAAAATCCACCATAGCGAAAGGTTCGGATCTCGGGTACGTTGGTTTTGCTGTGCACGTACAACTGCGGTCAAAAAAATAGGTAGCGCGTTTGTAATGGTGTTGCTTTGGTTCAATTCGAGCTATACTTTATTTTGTGTATGACCTCTGTAAACTTAAAAACAAAAGATCTTTTATTTATTATTTGGCGGCTATAAAATTAATAATATTAGTAATTATATTAGCACTGTTCAAAACTAAATTTAAAAAAATAAATATTTATTTGTTTATTAAAATAAATTACGTTTTGTTTTAAAATTTGTTTAAACTTTTTCGTTTTTTTGTATATAATATTTTACGTAATAACAACATTTCTTTCGGAATACCCTGTTCCTAAAAGTAATAATTTTCCCGGATTAATGATCCGTGTGAAATGGTTGGGACTTCTGACAAATGGGAAACTCGTGTTCCCACAGAGCACATCCACCATCCACCATCCAATAACAGCTGATTTGAAGAGCAGTTGCTCAACTCAACATTAACGAAGGGGAATTTCAACTCGGAAAAACTGACGTAAAATTGCGTTCTTTTAATCCTTTTGTAGAATAATACAATAAATAGCATAAGATAATAGTTAAAAAACATATCTGAACTTCTATAACGGATCCTAAATCGAGTATGCATACATTTTGCTGACTGGGGGAGAGCCTAACCTCCCGTGCCCCAAATCCGATTTGATTTGTTCTCGTAGTCAACGTTCCATTTTTCACAGTCCAGAGGAAGAATTCAAAGTATCACCGAGAAAACATCGCCTAACTATCGCATAAAAGGGCACGTTTAAAGATTTCTGAGAAGTATAAATGCAACTTTGTTGTGTATATTTACACATACCTTTCCAAATGTAGAAGATATTTTTCAAATTGGCCCATTCATTAAAAAGTTATACGCAATCAAAAAATTGTATATATCCACCTCCCTCGCACTCCCCTTAAACCGAGTGACATTTATAAGATAGTCGGGACACCAACCCGACTATAGCGTTCTCTCTTATTTTTAAATGTGTCTGTTAAAGCGTGGCGTAAGATAAATATTATGTACTTTAAAATTTTAAAAAATTTGAGTTAAAATATAGATTGATATAAAAAACGATCTAAAAAAAACTAAGATTATGGCTGTCCTAATTTTGTAAAACCAAGTACACTTTTTAATAGGTAACTTAAAGTCGTTGCGAATACGGAAATTTTGTTGCGGATTGGGTATAAAAAGAGCCAATCCTCAGATCAGACTTTAGTAACAAAAAATTTGTGCAAAGATGCAAATCAACACGACATTAATGGTGAGTTTAAAAAAGTGATAACATAAAGACAATGTGTACTAAGCATAGACTTTCAACCCATAGATTTTTCTATTTGCTTTGATGGTCGCAGTTTTGGCCCGGCCTCTTGATTGTGGAGATGATATTGTAGGATGCACCTGGGGACGATGCAGTTCATGGTAAAAGTAAATAAATCATAAATGAAGTTCTTGTATTCAAGAAGAAACAAATTTAAATATTAATCGAAATAAACCGACATTATAGTTTCTTTAAATTTAAAGTCTTATTAAACAACAGGCTCTAAACATTTAATCTATGTCCAATAAAACCCACCAGAAAGCTAGCACTCGTGCTGTCTGCGGCAGCACCATCACCTTATCGTTAGAGTTAGTTGTAGAGAGAATCACACGTGGGGACCGATAAGCTTTTTTGATTAGACAGAGATTGCTATGGGCTGGAATATCTCCCTTATTCAGTATTTTTGCACAAGCAGATCGAACGGACGTGAGCAGGGAAATATGGCTGGCGAAACTGTTATTTTGGCATATTCTGGTGGCCTAGACACTAGCTGCATCTTAAAGTGGTTGTTGGACCAGCAGTATGAGGTCATATGCGTCCTAGCGGATGTTGGTCAGAAGGAAGACTTTGCCGCCGCCGAGAAGAAGGCCTTAAAAATTGGGGCAAAGAAGGTTAGTTGAGAAAACTCTCCATTATAAGGAAATATTTTCTTTTAAAGTGCTCTGACCATATTAGAAAATTGCGATTAAAAGTGCCTTGACCGTCTGTAAAGTAACTTTCTTGTGTATTTGACTCCTAGGTGATCGTGGCCGATGTGAAGCAGTCCTTCGTAGAAGACTATATCTGGCCGTCCATTCAGATGGGCCTTGTCTACGAGGAGCGCTATCTGCTGGGCACTTCTCTGGCCCGTCCATGTATCAGTGTTGCTCTGATGGAGGTGGCCCGCCAGTGCGGGGCTAAGTACCTTGCCCATGGAGCCACCGGAAAGGGAAACGACCAGGTGCGCTTTGAGCTGTGCGCCTATGCCCTCAAACCGGATCTTAAGGTGCGTCTAAACATCCCAACGGTATCAGGCCGACTGATAAGCGTTTTCAGGGGCAGCTTTTCGGGCTTATCAATTGCTTATCGCACAGAAAGTGCAACAATATAGTGGTACTTCACCAAGTCGACATTATCTAATTTAATATTTCTTTAACTCTAATCTTCTTCGACGGTTTGGAAACCAACCAACTAAAATTTGGATGGGTTTAAAATTTAAACTTTAAATAGTCCACTTAATTTTTAACGGTTTTTATCACACTAAGATTTTTTTTGGGGAAATTTTGGTATAAAGAAATTTTTGTGACATCTTTAATATGGATATATTCACGCTTGCCAGATTTGGCTCTTTGTAGCCAACAACGAAAAAACGAATACATTTTTTTATTTCTGCATTTTTTTTGCAATTTTAAAAGTGATTAATGTCTGAAACCCAAAAGTGCCAGATCGAAACTAAATTGTTCCGCTTTTTTGGCTCATAAAAAATTTTTGAAGTGGCAACCGTCGATATATTACCTTAAAATCCATAGATATTTTTAATTTTAAGTACAGGCTCTCTTGGTATACCTTATATGTTTGTATAGTTTTTCGCTAAATTTTTAGTTAAAAATATTTTATACAAGTATTTTAAAGTAAATATCTCTGATATTCTCTTTTGTGTTTTTTAGATCATTGCTCCGTGGAGGGATGTGGAGTTCTGCCGCCAGTTCCAGGGTCGTCAGGATCTCATTGCCTATGCCCAACAGCACGGAATTGAGGTGAGCGCCAAGCCGGCCACTCCTTGGAGCACCGATGCCAACATCCTGCACATCAGCTACGAGTCCGGAATCCTCGAAGATCCCAACACAGTGGCTCCGGACAATCTCTACGAAATGACCGTCGATCCCCTGACTAAGGCGCCTCGGAATCCCGTTCGCCTGGTTATTCAGTTCAATCGGGGACTGCCCACCGGTGTGGAGGATTTGGCCAGCAGTCGAGTTTATACCAAACCACTGGAGATGCTGGAATTCCTCAACCGGCTGGGCGGATCTTACGGCATCGGTCGGATTGACATTGTTGAAAATCGTTATGTGGGACTAAAATCGCGCGGGGTATACGAGACGCCAGGAGGCACCATCCTGTACGCTGCTCACCAGGACCTCGAGGTCTTCGCCTTGGACCGCGAGGTACTCCGCACCAAGCAAGTACTGCGGGATCGCATGGCCGACTACGTGTACAATGGTTTCTGGTTCAGTCCGGAGGCGATTTATGCGCGCAAATGCATCGAGTTAGCCGAGCAGCGGGTCTCCGGAAAGGTAACCGTGGAATTGGCACCTGGATATTGCCGCGTCGTCGCCCGAAAGGCGGCGAAGGATGTCGGAGCTCTTTACAACGAACAGCTCGTATCCATGGACGTCCATGGTGGCTATGTGCCGCAGGATGCGGGCGGCTTTATTGCCATCAACGCTGTCAGGATAAGAGAACATGTCCGAGCATTCGGAGCCTACGAAGTGCCAGAGCAGGACAAACGATAAAGAATTGGAGTTGGTTGTTACTGATGAGCTGTTTTATTACGTTTATATAAAAAGCATGTTAAATAATTAAAATAAACGCAGACTATCAAATACCCGTTACTCATCTAAACTAAGTGCGAGGGAGATGGAGATAGGCAAACTACAAAACGACAATGGAGCAAAGCGGCACCTAGCGGCCAAAGCTGTTGTTGTTCATAACTTTTAAATGGCTGATGATTGATGACTGTATTGGTATTCATAATTAAAATGGGTAATTTACAACATTTTTTAAAATTAGTGCCGTAGGTAGATTTTAGCGTTATAGGCTTTTGTGATCGTTAGAGTGGGCGTGGATCATATGGAATCTGAATGTGAAATCCCAACTCTAAGTCTCTGATAGTTTCCAAAATCACAGCCCTATACTTTATAGGGCTTACCCGTTACATATTTTTACCCTCTAGCTCTACAAGGAACGGGTATAAACATGCTCTTATATTTAATTAAATAAAAAGAATTCCTGAAAATAGTTTTTGATAAAAAAGACGAGGCAATAATATAAAAGAAACTGGGCTAAGAACCAGATGACTGGAATTTATTTTACACTAAGTATTTATTTTATCTCGATGGGGTTCTAGTGTGGAAATAGTAAAATAGGGAAAAAGCTTCACTCCCAAATAGTGGATAGAAAGAAAAGACTCGACATCAAAATGACATATCGATTATCTAGGCAACTGGCACCATCTCTGAAATTCAATATTAGGTAAAATATATAAAATATTAAAAAATCTGTGTGATAATGTAAACTTTACTCATCATGCTTATGCTTGTGCTTCTTCTTATGCTTATGCTTCTTTTTTTCCTTTTTAGGAGGCACATTGTCCGTGTATAGTCCTGGGACATTTCCGGGTGGAGTATATCTGACCACAAAAACACCTTGTAAAGCACTGCAAATAAAAAAGTTTAGATTACAAAACAGATAATTTTTAACGCTATTAACAGTGGTTGTGCCTTCTCATACTTGTGGAGTTAGTGACTTACTTTATGTTAGCGTCTCCATAGCCCATAAATTGGGAAGACCTCCAAATCAGTGCAGTAAACTCCTTAGCTCTCGGGTCTAACTTATCAAATTTTCTTCCATGATACCAATTATGGACGCATCTTGATAGAGCTCCCGCTCTAATTTCATATTTGCAGATGTTTTCTGTGTATTTTTTATTAGTGGGGTCCGAGTATGTCATATTATTCGACTTCGCCAGTTGCTGTGAAATAAAACGTCTTAGGCAAGCAGTAAGAAGAGTTGATTTTAATCATACCGTAGCATATGTTTGGCATCCTTCGCTAAGAGCCATGTCCAAAGCCAAATGTGGCACTCCATGTCGATCCCTCCTTTTGTTTGATTCTCTAAGAACTATCCGGGCATTGTCCATGTTCATGGCATACAGACGGTCGACCTAAAATGAATTTTTAGCTCATCGTCTCACTCAGATACTTTACTCTTATCAAATACCTCAAAGGCCGCCAAGAGCATAAACATTAATATTTTTAAAAACATCATTATTCAATTTTGGGACTTTTACGAAAAATTTAGATATCTAGTAACATAACATTTTTGATTACTTTTGAAAGGTTTTTCAAAGCTCAATGGTACAATTAATCTCAAAGTAAAACCCAAATTTTAAAGAGACAATAATTCCACCGAAATCAAAGCTTCTGCAATAAAATTTGAGTAAAGTGCATTCCTGCTGAATCCAATGTTTCGCCCACATGCACTTCCGAATGGCAGTTAGATGTGTAATTTCCATTGCAATCAATTCGAGTGTTTGTTTAATAAATCTGCCGCTCGAGTGTGACGGCGGGGACACTTGTAAGGGCAGTCGAATACACAATTAATGAAATACTAGCATATAAATAAATATACATATATCATTCCCAATATTTGGCAGAGCTGGGACAAAAGTAAACAGAAGAGCCAACACAACTGCTCCATGTTGGATTTCCCAATTGCATTAATCTTATTTCCGGAGTGGCTCAGGTCCGGCGAAAGATGAGCAAAACAAAAGATGCTTCTTGTGTGTACACATTCGCACATAAATGCAAAAACTAATATTATTACAACAAATAAATAGAGACCCTCGGCAAGTGCGACAGCAGCAGAAACATCGGCTGGGATTGTATTTCAGACTTGTTGGATATTTATATGTCCGTCTGCATCTGTGCCTTCGTGTGTAGGCAAACATTGTCTATCTATCGACATGAATTGATGATGGAGGCGAGTGTCGGATGCCATTGAAGACATTTCCAAGCTCAGGGAATCAAGGCTAGGGACAGAAATCCAAGTGATGAAAACTTTGCACAGAACTAGCATCTCCCAAAGGACATTGTGCTTCAATGGTTTAGTTTTCAAGACCTAGCTGTACGTTTCTTGTCGTTGGGTGCCCTTACCCTTATAATGATTTCAGTCAGAAGTTTGCAACGCTGTGAATGAGATTATTCTGAGCCCATTAAATATGTATATTATTGAACAGAATCACTGGATAAGTAGATCAAGCCATGTCCGTCTGTCTGTCCTATAGCTCCAATTGGAGCTCGTTGTTTTTACACTTACATACATATTATTTTCTATCTATGGGAATATAATTTGTTTAATATTTATAAGCTTTAAATTTAATTTTAAAAAACTCGGACGATCTCTTCTACTCTGGGAAAAAATATTTTTTTAATATTTTAGAGTTACGAATTAAATTGTACACAAATTATATAGTCTTCATATACTCATGGTGTTTTTTATAGACATTCTTTTGTAAGTTGATACAACATTTTTTTTTATTAATCGAAAAAATTAAAATTCAAATTTAATATTTCTACATTATGTTTTTGCGAAATCACTGGCCAAAATTAAAAGTCATTGAATCTTTTTTTTTTCTTTAAATTTCATTTTTCGATGTTTAATTAACTAAGACGGATGGCCTAGTGGTTACAACTTTTGTTGAACCGCTTGCGATTTTTTCTGTGCAAAAGACCTATTGCTGTTTGGTTTTGATAATCAACTCGGAATTTAGCGGAGCTCCGCCTTGTTGGTCAAGCGTATCGCTGGTACATAGGAACACAAACGAGGGCCTCGCAACCGCGGCAGTGGACCAACTTAACTGAACTCGGGCCTTATGCAGCCCATCTATCCATCCATCCATTGGTGCATCCAGGAATCTATCCATCCATCAGCGGCAGGGACAATGTTGCTTTTGTTGGTTGCGTCGGTTGCTGGTGGCATACGATCAGAATCAGACAGCGTTGACGTTTCAACTTTGTGCTAAACTAGGCGAATGGCAAAAAGGGCTTTAGCCCAAATATGGGCGAACGCAGCCCACCATAAATGCTGAAAAAGTTAAGCTCTCGGTTTTTGCGGGATTATTTGCGAGCGTTCAAAGGATGTCGTTAGTCCTTTGCGATTCGCAGGCGCAACTTTTGCGAAGGCCCCGCTCTCTCTCTTTCTGGTTTCTGTGGCCCCTGTGTGTGTGTCGCATTTTTTGTTGTTCTGTTTATTGAAGTTGATAAATTGAATCAAAGGTTAACTTTGCGAAAAGTGTGAAGTATGATTAACAGGAACGCGGGAAAAGCGGCTTAAAGCGCGCATTTAAATGGCTGCTAATTCGGTCGAGTTACCCGATGATATCCTTGCTGGGCAAATTGATTTAGTCGAACAGTAAACAAAACTCGAAAGAGCAGCCCCGAATTCCCCAGATACATTGCACAGGATGATAAAATAGAAGTCCTTGTAATTGCAAAGAAAAACACGCTCCGGCTCTTCCTCTGCAGCTGTCTGAAAGCTGTCGGAGCTGGCAACAACAACCAGAAATTTATGGCCCAACTGGAACTGGAACCAGGAGCTGGGAGCTGGGATCCTGGCACGCCCAATACACTTCAGCAAACATAAATTTATTTATGAGCATGTGTCCGCTTCCCCCTCTCCGCCCCCTTACCGCCCACAGGAAAGTAGAAGAGTCCTTTCGCCCAAGCTCACAAATTGTTTGAGGGTGAATTTTAATTATTCCTCATTGTTTTGATAGCAACGCATGCAGCTCCCTTCTCAGCCATCCAATCCATCCAGGAATCGTGCAGCTATAGGGAACAGAAAACTCCTTAACTACGTCAACGGTATTCGGATCTTGGCTATAACACCTATCTTAGTTCGTTTCTGTAAAATTTGTATAGGAGGGAGGACAATTCGTGAGCTGTTTTGTGTTAAACTATTATTATGTTTTTTTTAATTAAATTTAAAAAATAAATCTTTTACTTAAAAATTTCTGGAATAAGAAATGATATTAAAAATGTTTTTTGATTCGAAAGAAATCAATATTTTACAGCTTTTTAAATTCAATTTCCAATGTAAAAAACATACTTTATAGTAATTTTATTAGGCTACATTATAAAAATTAAACATTATTACATTTTATATTTCGCTTCAGCAAAGAGTGAAAAAATGTTACAAAGTGTAAAATACTAAAATACACTATTAAGTGTATATAATATAGGTAAAATATTCTTTATATGTAATAACCAGAGGCCCTTTTTATGTGGATAATATGCCGCGGTAACCTGTTCTGCCGTATTGTATTCAAGAATTCGACTCGATGTCCCCTTCGCAATCCTTGCGAAAGTCTTGACCTCTTTCGAGAGCTTTGATTTTAATTATCACGCAGTTGCATTCGCCAGCTGTGCTGTCTCCATGACTCCTGGCTTCTGACTCCCGACATCCGACTTCCGATTTCCGACACCCAGCTCCGGACTTTTCGTCCTGCTCCTTCGCGGCGCCAAAACTATGAGGCGAAAGGAATTTTAATATTGAAATTTGTTTGCGCGGACTTTGTTGTAGCTGTAGTTGCTGGCCCTGGCGTTGGATGCATTCTCGTTTTGTAATTAAGTGCAGACAGAAGTGGAAATCAGGTCGCTCATACGCCCCATTGGCCGACGGTGTGACGCGGCGTTGTCCGTGAGAAAACTTAATTTTTCAAATGAATTTTTCCGTTTGCAGCAGCGGCGCAATGGCTTTTCAAATTATTATACTTGGCAGCGAGAACAGAAGACCTTTTTTTTTGTCTTTCACGTTTCCAAGTCGTCGGGCAGCAGCTGTAGGTAATGTTGAAGGGCCAAGATCTGGGGACAAGCGAAACTAATTAATTTGTGAACATCCCAGGTGGACCTAGGAATTCATATATTTTTTCTGCTGCAGGCGGATGATATTGTTTTTCAGCTCCCTTTTACGTAAATATGCAAATCGCAGCGCGAAACTTTTTCCGTGCAATTGAAATTGAGTTTTAAAGTTTCGAAATCCATTTTAATGCATTTCGCTCCACTCTTTTCCGCGCATGCAGTTCGCAAAAGCGGGTAAAAGCCGGCGAGCACAAGGTAACTACAAAATTCCAGATACAATTTTCCAACAGAATGTTGCCCTGCCAACGCGGCACGTGGAACGTGGCCAGATTATGCTGTATTATCACCTGTAAATCCTTATTGGCAATCAAAACTTTGCCAACAGCGCTGGCCCCTGTCCACCTCCACCTCCACCCCAGTGCCACCCCCCTTTACCCCAGGCAGCTTTTCCTATTTTCGTTAGTATTTGTATTTGCTACTTTCAATGGATTCTGTGAAATCTGCAAAATCTGTGCATGCAGGCAAACTTTTAATTTTATTGGAAAACTTGTTGAGTTTTTTCGGCTCGGCATATTTTTATATCCTCTGCGAAAAAGTGTGAGGGTGCGCAATCTTGAAAATCATAAATAATTATTTTTGAAAATAATCGACTTATTTGTAAAGGGCATCAAAACACATTTACTTGTTGTTGAAACTACATTTCTTGGTCTTTGTATTATCTTTGTTTTACCACTTAATTAATTCAGAAAAAATTAGACATTTCTCTTCTCTTACAGTCAGAGTCAGATTTTAGGCCCAACCAGGAATTAATATATTTTTTAGCGAAACCGTTTTTGTGCCAGACAGCCTCTGAAAGCTTCAAAAGTTCGAATCCGCCCGGCTGTTCTGCAGTTGATGTCCCAAAGCAATTACCCGCGCATTATGCCGCTGACAGTGTGGATTTGAGAGGCGGTTAAATGCCGCTTCGAATTATTTTGGCAAGGCCTTAGTCGAACATCGCGTAACTGTTTTGAAGGCTGCAAAGCCCCCAGTTCGATGTGTGCAAAATTGCACCTTGGCCCTCACCTGCCAGCTAATCACGCAGGTTACGGAAGGGATGGTGGTGGTTGGGGGACAAGGACGAGGACGAGGATGACAGGATGGCAACCGCATCACACGGCACCGCAGCATATTTCCGTCACCGATTGCCTGCCGATTGCAACGATGGGTTGCCAGTTGCCTGGTTGCATTGCCATTAAACTGCAAATCCGCAGTCGAGCAATTCTCGCATGTAATGCTGATGTCGACATTTTACTGCTGTTGCTGCCGTGCTGTTGCTGTTGCTGCTGCAACTGGCATTGCTGCTGCTGCTGATGCGGGCTCGTGTTTTGCCACAACAGCGCGCCAGTGCCAGTGCCAGTGCAGCGACACCTTCTGTGGCAACAAGGAAGCCGGAGCAGACATTTCACCCCGCGCCAGTCCATTGGCACCCGG